AAATGTCTCAACTAGGACACAATTCTCAACCTGTTTATCAAAACAGGGAACAATTACTCTATCGCAGTAAACAGTATGGAGTCTCTATATCAACAAACTATATTTCTTCAGTTTAAATTAAAATTGGGTCTTTATGCGCTGTTATATATAACGTGGTTAAGTAATCATAATATGGGTATGACGGATTTTTATATATCTACGTATATTGATTGGGTTAATCACAATGCATGTTTTACCTATTTACTAATGGGCACATTTAGGTATATATGGACAATGTACAGCGAAATTTTACTATGGGGCCAGAAATTACTGGGAAGGATTCAGGGAGGGGGGCTGGAACGGAAGGCTGGAAGAGAGGGCTGGAAGTATAAAGGGAAGGCTGGAAGGATGAAGGAATGGCTGGAAGGATGAAGGGAAGGCTGGAAATATAAAGGGGGAGGGCTGGAAGGATAAAGGGCAGGTTGGAAAGATGAAGGAATGACTGGAAGGGTGAAGGGAAGGCTGTAAGGATAAAGGGGGGCTGGAAGGATAAAGGGAAGATTGAAAGGATGAAGGGGGCGCTGGAAGGATGAAGGGAAGGTTGGAAAGCTGGAAAGGAGGCTGAAAGGCTGGAAGCGAGGCCGGCTGGAAGGATAAAGGGAAGGTTGGAAGGATAAAGGGGGGATGGAAGGATAAAGGGAAGGCTGGAAGGATGAAGGGAAGGCTGGAAGGATAAAAGGGGGGGCTGAAAGGATGAAGGGAAAGCTGGAAGGATAAAGGGGCTGGAAGGATGAAGGGAAAGCTGGAAGAATAAAGGGGGACCAGCAGGATAAAGGGAAGGCTGGAAGGAAGAAGAGAAGGCTGGAGGGGAGGCTGGAAGGTACTGGGAAGAATTCAGGGGGGGGGCTGGAAGGTACTGGGAAGGCTGTGTATCCGGTATGATGTGTCAGCAAACAGTTTGCCAAGGTATACAGGCAATCTTCATCAATATACCATACATCAATATAAACATGAAACATAAACATTAAACCGGTTTGATCTTAGATCAACATAAACATTAAACATAAATATTAAACCATTTTGTATTTAGATAAACATTAATATAAAACTGGTTTGTTCCTAGATCAACATATACATCAAACCAGTTTGATCTTAGATAAACATAAACATTAAACCATTTTGATCTTATAGATCAACATAAACATGAAACCAGTTTGAGCCTAGATCAACATAAACAATAAACCAGTTTAATCTTATAGATTAACATCCTAGATAAACATAAATGTTAAACCAGCTTGATCCTAGATTAACATAAACATTAAACCCATTAAACTGGTTTGATCCTAGATAAACATAAACATTAAACCAGTTTGATCCTAGATCAACATGAACATTAAACCGGTTTGATCCTAGATCAACATAAACATTAACTGGTTTGATCCTAGATCAACATGAACATTGAACCGGTTTGATCCTAGATAAACATGAACATTAAACCGGTTTGATCCTAGATAAACATAAACATTAAACCGGTTTGATCCTAGATCAACATAAACAATAAGCCGGTTTGATCCTAGATCAACATACATTAAACCAGTTTGATCCTAGATCAACATAAACATTAAAACGGTTTGATCTTAGATCAACATAAACATTAAACCAGATTGATCCTAGATCAACATAAATATAAAACCAGTTTGATCCTAGATAAACATAAATATTAAACCAGTTTGATCGTAGAACATTATTTCGGTTGGATCCTAGATAAAAATGATTTTTTATTCGGTTTGACCCAAAATCAACAACTAACATAAATTATGAGTTTTTATGGGGAGGCTTCTCATAAAAAAAAGCCCATGCGAGGTGAGCAAAGAAATAGATAAGATGATACTTCTTAAAGAAAGATAAAAATATTTTTGAATTTACCATTTAGAAATAACAAATAGCTGAACTAAAGCAATAGATCACTTTATTACAAAAAATTAGACGCATTAGGTAATTACGAACCCGGAGATTTATCTTCTTGAACCTTGAATATTGAACTCTACTCAACCAGCCTTTTTCCACTGATCACGGAAAGGTAATATTCATTCTTATAACTCAGGGTATATAGAGAACTCCTTCTTACTCCGGGTACACTAGTATATAGAGAACTCCTTCTTACTCCGGGATCACTAGTATGAAGAGAACTTTATACTCAGGGTACACTAGTATGAAGAGAACTATATACTCAAGGTACACTAGTATGAAGAGAACTATATACTCAGGGTACACTAGTATACAAACAACTATATACTTACTCAGGGTACACTAGTATATAGAGAACTATACTTACTCAGGGTTCATTAGTATATAGAGAACTATATACTCAGGGTACACTAGTATATAGAGAACTATATACTCAGGGTACACAGTATGAAGAGAACTATATACTCAAGGTACACTAGTATAAAGAGAACTATATACTCAGGGTACACTAGTATACAAAGAACTATATACTTCCTCAGGGTACACTAGTTTACAGAGAACTATATACTTACTCAGGGTACACTAGTTTACAGAGAACTATATACTCAAGGTACACTAGTATAAAGAGAACTATATACTCAGGGTACACTAGTATATAGAGAACTATATACTTACTCAGGGTACACTAGTTTGAAGAGAACTATATACTCAAGGTACACTAGTATACAAAGAACTATATACTTACTCAGGGTACACTAGTTTACAGAGAACTATATACTTACTCAGGGTACACTAGTAAACAGAGAACTATATACTTACTCAGGGTACACTAGTATACAAAGGACCATATACTTACTCAGGATACACTAGTATACAGAGAACTACATACTTACTCAGAGTACACTAGTATATAGAGAACTATATACTCAGAGTACACTAGTATATAGAGAACTATATACTCAGGGTACACTAGTATATAGAGAACTATACTTACTCAGGGTACATTAGTATATAGAGAACTATATACTCAGGGTACACTAGTATACAAACAACTATATACTTACTCAGGGTACACTAGTATATAGAGAACTATACTTACTCAGGGTACACTATTATATAGAGAACTATATACTCAGGGTACACTAGTATACACTGAACACAGAGAGATACTTTTAGCGAGAATTATATTTATGCGATATTTAATTATATCTTGAGATACATTTTTTCTAAATTGTTTATTTATTATTAGAAGCGGGCTGAGGATGAAACTAAAAAGAGTTCTGTAAAAGAGTAAAAAAGGGTGGACAAGATCCTAAAAACTTGACAGAGAATTGATTTATGGATTATGCACAAGGTTGGAGGGTCAAACGAATAATAATGTAAGCAGAGCACAGTTTTTAGGGATAGTAGACTTAATTCAGATCGGTTATACTGAGAGGGGTATAGGAAGGATTTCTTGAGGTGACAGGACGGGAGGGTTGGAGGATAATGGGAAGGAGGGTTGGAGGATAATGGGAGGGGAGGTTGGAGGATAATGGGAGGGGGGTTGGAGGGTGATTGGAGCAAGGGTTGGAGGATAATGGAAGGGGGGGTTGGACTGTGATTTGAGGTAGGGTTGGAGAGTGTTGGAGGGTAATGGGAGGG